TGTGCGAAGCCCTCGCTGCGGCCCCCGGCGGGGACTGGCACCTCCCTGCAGCCTGGCTCTCCCGGCCCGAGCCGCGGCTCGGCCGCCCGAGCCCAGGCCCCCAGCAGCCCGCGGACGCCTTCGGGCTCTCCAGACCCGTACCGAGTGGCGCCCCAGCCCCAGAAATCTGGAGCCAGCAAGGGCGGCTCGGTGCGTTTCTAAAAATTCAAGTCCATCCCCATAAGAACGAGCCTCTGCCCCGTCCCAGCCAGCAGCACGGCAGCCGCGTCCAGCGGGCGGGCGGGCGGCTGGCGCCGGGGGTCCCTCTTCCGTCCGACCCCTGTTTAACAGACAGTTGCGGGCTCTTTCAGTCCCAGGGCTCCAGAGGCAAGTAATGACCAGCAGCAATTTTAGGACGGGGCCAGCCGCCACGGGCTCAGCAAGATCGGGCCAAACCGAGCGTGGAGCCTTGTACTCGGACACGGACGGTGAACCCAGGGCCCAGCCAGCTGCCCGGGCCCTCTGACAGCAGCCTGCTCGGCGCCTGACCTGTCTGTGAAAATCTGCGCGCCGTCTACCAAGGGGGCACCTCGGGATTGCAAACTTCTGTTCTAAGGACATTAAATAAATTATTTCTTTAAGATCATATGGCAGATCTATAATTAATTAAACCCACCACGATATTACGGCAAAATAATTTCGCTTTTCTAAAAAGGTAAATGTAATTTGCCGATCTGGTATTTGGAAGAATGCTTTGCCCAAAATCAATTCCTTTAGTTTCTAGAGAATAGGAACGAGAGGCAATCTCATTTTAATTATATCTCTTTATTGCTAACAAAGGGATGATTTATGCAATTAAATTAACTGGCTAGAAAATGATTCTCAGCTGGGCTGTCCTGGTTCTTTGCTCTGTGAATTGCAGGCTCTTACACTTTCGTGTGTAGATTAATTTTTCTGATATGCAAACAATGCCTCTCGTGTTCGCCTCCCATTTTTTTATTCAGAAGTCCTCTTTTCTTCTTGCCAACAACATGAATAATATTTGTTGAACTGCTTGGCTCTGACTAGTTTTTTTTTTTTTTTATGTTAAAAAGATAAAAAAAGACCTTTTCTCTCCAGCCTCATTACTCCAGAGCAGAGCAAGGTCCCGGTTTTATCTGCAGTCCCAGAGAAGCAGCAAATCATGGAAAACAGCGAACGTGGCCAAGCTACGCGGCCTGGCTTGGGTCCGGGCGCCCCCAAGGGTGCCAGCGAGCAAACGCGTTGGGGGCCACCTTCCCTCCTCGCTCCCCTTGTCCCTTGGCCTCCCCCACCCGTCCAAGGTCCTCTGTCCCCTTGAACTGCTCCCATTAAAGGGAACAAGTGGCAGAGGTGTGCGCCACGTGTCACGCGTGCGTGGTGTCAGGGACACGTCACATGGGCCATGAATGCGAGAAGCCCCCCATGGACACTTCGTTTCAGAGGGAGGGTCCCCTGAGGGCAGCGGCTGGTCATCGTGGGGGTGACAGGGCAGCGGTCGGGCTCCGTATCTCTTCTTTGATTACAAATTAGGTGGTGGCGCCTGGGTGACAATGGTTATTTGCAACGTAGTGGCCTCACCTCTTCCTGGAACAGGATATCTTTCCTGAAGGAAGTCACATGGTTTCACGTTCACCCATCAGGTTGAGACTGGCTAGTGAACGTTAGAGCCCGGAAAGGGTCGGCCTCGAAGATCCACAGAGCCGCGAGGGAGGGGTGGCCGAGCGCGTTTGAGGGGGACCTGCGTGGGGCTGCGCGAGTGGATTTGAGGAGGGGGTGACTTTACCATCTTGTCAGGAGACTGGGTCCATTTCCTAAGGGAGCTGCTCGCACCGAGGCGGGGGTCTCGGGACAGGCCAGCCCGTCCTCAGCCATAAGAGTCATGGGATCTGAGCTAGAGACCGGGAACCAAGCGCGCGGGGCGGCCTGGGCAAAATAAGGGGAAAAAGGGAAAACGGACCCCGGCTCGGCGCTTTGGCGGGCAGACGTCCTCTCAGTGAACTTCGAAAGCCATTTTAAGATGCTGGCCAGAGCCTGTTTCGGCCTAAATAGATGGTTCCCCAATTCTCTGAGCTTCCCTGTCGCTCCGATCGCCTTGCCGTGTTCAGCGTGGGCCTTTCAAATCTGTGCCCTGGTGGCAGGGAGGACAGCAGGACAGCAGCGTCCCTGCATCGGAGGAGGAGCGCCACCTTCACTGAAATAGGAGCAGAGCCCAAAATTGAAATGGAATTTCATATAAAACTTTTCTGGTGGTTCTAAAAATAGGAACCACCCCGTTTGACTAAAAGACCCATTAACGGCAGCCCACAAAGCGCGTATTTGAGTTTCCCTGGGTTCGTGCTAAAATGGATCGGCTCCTTGAGGTGTGGCCGTTGAACTTGCGCTTACACATCTATCTGCAGCAGAGTCGCCGGGCACGTGAGGTGACGGAGGTGGCCCTGCCCAAGGCGTCCTTCAGGGGCAGGCTCAGCCCGCCCCGGGGGTGGGGCCTGAGCCCCGTCTTCGCTCTGGTGACCCACTGTCATGTTAGTGTGGCCCCAGGAGTCATTGTCAAGGAGGTTGTGGGAAGAAATTCTAAAATTTCTAAGATTCTTCAATGAAAACAGCCAAATTTTTGAGGTTTGACTGGGGATGATGCTGAGGTTTCTGAATAAGGCTTCTGTTTGGGGCAAAAAAAAAAAAAAAGATGAGCGTGAGGATCTGAAGCTACTAGAAGCAGCGCTGACGTCGGAGTGGCTGCGGCACCAACGCCGCCCAGCGCGTGGCTGTGTGGCCCGGTCACGGGAGAGACACGCGGCTGCCCCTCACATAAACCTAACGACGGAAGGACAGTCGAGACTGGGTGACCAGTCACGTCTCGGGGCCTCACGAGCTCGGCGAGTTGGTCCGGACGGGTCGACGGGGCCGTGACGGGCAGGGCGGCGCAGCCACGGGGGTGGATCAGCGGGTTTGGAAATGTGGCTGCGAACCGGAAGCAGCAGCTGGAGGAGCAGCGCGTCTGGAGGGCGGGGCCTTCCGTGTGTTTGAAGATGAGGCGGGGTCATGGTTGTACCTGTTACCTGGCCGCATAAAGGCCTTTCTACGAATTAAAATTCTTTGGGTGTTTTTTTGTAAAGGGGTGAGGAGTGACAAGATTGCCTTTCTTACAAGACAGGGCTCCTTTTTAAAGGAGGATCTAAACTAATGGAAAGACATCACATGTTCTCGGTCCAAAGAGTTGATGTTACTAAGGTGGCAATATGTCTAAACTGACCTGCAGATTCGGTGGGATGTCGGCCTCCGGCTGCTTTTTGTCCCCCGCCCCGCCCCCCACCCTCCAGCAACGGTCCACTTGTCCTCTGTGTACCTGTGGGTCTGTTTCCATTTTGTTTACAATTTAAGTTTCACATAGAAGTGAAATCATATGGTATTTGCTTTTGACTTATTTCACTTAACACAGTGCCCTCTGGGTCCATCCATGTTGTTGCACTGGCAGGATTTCAGTCTTTAGGACTGAGCAGTGTTCCGTTGTGCAAATGTACCACTTCTTTATTTCTATACCCAGCGATGGACACTTGGGCTGCTTCCACATCTTGGCCGTTGTAATGCCTCAAGGAACATGGGGGTATATATAGCTTTTTGAATTAGTGTTGTTTTCTTCATAAATACCGAGTATTAGAATCGCTGGGCCACAGGGCAGTTCTAGTTTTAAGTTTTGAGGAAACGCCAGTTTTCCGCAGCGGCTGCACCGTCTGCGCTCCCGCCCACAGCGCACGAGGGCTCCCCTTTCTCCGCATCCTCGCCGGCACCTGTTTGCTGATTTATCGGTGATGGCCGTTCTGACAGGTGTGATCTCATTGTGGTTTTGATTTGCATTTCCCATATTAGTGACATTGAGCATCCTTTCATGTCTGTTGGCCATCTGTCTGTGTGTTCTCACAGCTCTTTGGAGAAGTGTCTATTCAGGTCCTCTGCCCATTTTTATCTGGATTTTTCTCTTTTTTGTATTGAGTTGCATGAGTTCTTTATATATTTTGTAAAGTATCATTGGCAGGAATGCTCTTCCATTCAATGGGTAGTCTCTTCATTTTGTTGATTTGCTTTGCTGTGCAAAAACTTGTCATGCAGTTCCAACTGTTTGTTTCCCTTGCCAAAGGAGTTATAGCCAAAAGATAAGTGATGTCAAAGGGTTCGCTGCCCATACTTTCTTCTAGTTTCATGTCTTCCATGTGCCTTTAACCCGTCTTGAATTTATTTCTGTATATGGTATAAGAACATGGTCCAGTTGAATTGCTTTGCATGCGTCTTGTCATTTTCCGAGAACCACTTACTGAAGAGGCTGCCTACATGGCACTGAATATCCTCACCTTGGTTGCAGACCACAGAAGCAAGGACTTACTTCTGTGCTCTCTAGTCTATTCATGTTTTTATGCCAATGCCATACTATTTTGATCGTTGTAGCTTTATAATATAGTTTGGTCTCAGGAAGCATGTTACCTCCCTTTGTTCTTATAATTTCCTTGGCTATCTGGGGTCTTCTGTGGTTCCATCTGAATTTTGGGATGAGTTCTGAGAATACCATTTGTGTGTTCACGGAATTGCTCCAGGTACAAGGACATTTTAAAAGTAGTAATCCTTACAATTCATGAGCAACATACTGTATTCCATTTATTTGTATCTTGTTCAGTTTTTCTTCTATGTCTTATAGCTTTTAGAGTATAAGTCTTACATTTCCGTTGGTTCAATTTATTCCTATTTTATGCTACTTGACACAATTGTAAATGGGACACCTGACGTACATCACAGGCGCCTAGAAACACAGCGCTCTCGGGGCCGCTCCAGAAAAAGGGGGCAGGGCAGAGTCATGAACAGCTGCACAGCTTTATTGTAAGGCAGTGCCCGCCTACATCAAATGCATTGACCTACAAAACCACCCCGAGGAGCACATAAAAAATGACTGAGCCAACACCATAATCAAAACTAAGACAGGGCGTGCTCTCCACCGGCGGCGGGCCGCGCGGCACTCAGGTCGGCAGCCGGAGCACCCTCTTCTGCAGCTCGGCGGTCCTCTCCTGCAGCTCGGCGCGGCCTTCCTGCGCAGCCTTCTCCACGCCCTCGTGGTACTTCTCCAAAGCCCCCTTCAAGGCCAGGAATATTTCCTGAGGAAAACGAGACGCAATCATTAGTCTGTGCAGTGACCGAGACTAAGCACGAGCTACAAGAATCCCTGGCCTGAGCCACACGCATCAACACTGTCCCAACGCCTGAGGCCGTCCATGCACCCCCTAAACACGCATGCTGCGGGCCCGGCGGAGGCATCAGAAAAGTCTGCTCCTACGGCGGGGACATGGACAATGGCTTGGATTCCAAGACAGGAAGAACGTATTTTTATTTTCAAGAGAACATTTTTACTTTGGCGCTTCCCATTTGCCTGGTACGTAGCCAGGTCACTGGGCGCAGCTAGACGCTCTGCAGGTGGCCCCGGTCATCACCGCAGAGACACAGGAGCAGGCCCACGAGGCAGCCTGGAGACTGGGCAAAGCGCCGCCGCCCTGGAAGCGACAGTGAGCTCTCACGCAGGCCCACGTGCTCGTGCGAAGAATTAAGGAAAATGAAAGCACGACGGTTGTTAGACTGAATTTCTCCTGTCTCATACTTACCAATGCATTTTTCTACTTTTTTAAAACACACCAAATTTTTTATTGTTATCTACTTTAGAAAGAGAAAGACACAGCTGCTGGTCGCGCCACTTACTGATGCATCCCTGGTTGGTTCTTGCAAGCGCCCTGACTGGGGCTGGAACCCACAGCCTTGGCGTATGCGGACGGCGCTCCAACCCGCTGAGCTACCCGGCCAGGGCCATTTGATATTTTATCACTCCATTTTCTTACACAAAATTCTCAGACCTTGCTGCAAGAACGAGTGGGGGTCGGGGAGGCTGCAGGAGGCGTCTCGCCCCGGAAACAGAACAGCAGTCCTTGTCCAGGGGGAGGGCAGAGCAGCAAATGGGTCCGGTGGTCTCCATGCTAGGTGTGAAGCCCATTCAGGGCTTCCTAAACCTGTACTTTGGCCACTACCTTCTCAGTCTACGTTCAGCGCAGACACGGACCCCCACGCGCGTCCCAGGAGGGCGCTCCGGGCGGGGGAGGGGGGTACCCCCCACGCGGGGCCGAGACTCGCCGGAGGTGAGCACTTGCCCAAATGCACACCCCGGATGCAGAAACAGATGTCGCTGCAGATGCATGCGAGCACGTCAAGGATCTGCAACTGGATGGAGCAGGAATCATGAGAAAAATAAATAAAAAATTTTGGAAGATCTATTTCTTCAATCTTGTACGCAAATAACATGAATTAGTTGCTAGCACATATAAACACCCTTAAAAAAAAAAAAAGCAGCACATTCAGCATCTATGACCAATATAACTTCCTAGCTCTACAGGGGCATGTGTTTATTCGCACTTTAAAAAAAGCTGAAACAGCAGGACGCGGCCTGCACACGGCCCCGCCGGCAGCGGTGGCCTCCCCGTGTGTCTGAGGTAGCAACTCAGATGCATGCGGCGCTGGGGACAGAAATACTCCCGAGACCCTTTATCAGGAAAGATGCAGGCGTGTTTCAGAGGACCTTACTTGAAATCACGACTGAAGGTCATTTATCAAAAAAATCCAGAGCCGCTACGGGGCCTGCACTCTGGGCGTGGGCTGCCGCGGGGAAGGCCAGCGGGGCCAGGAACGGGGCTGGGAGGGCCCTTGCACCCTCGAGAGCCGCCCTGAGGTCGGTTCCTTATCAGCACTCACCTGGGACTTCAGTTTCTCCCTCTCAGTGGTATCTTTTAGTTGCTGGATTGCAAATTTAATTTTTTGGATTTCTTGATTAATTGTGGTTATTCGCTCATAGACAGCACCTCTTTTTTCCTGAACTTTATTGCAATCTCTACAGAAAAAAGAGACGGCCAAGTTAAAATTCCCCTTCGGCACCTAAAAAGGCAGACATTTCACTCTGACTTCCATCCCAAAGAGACCGTGTGTCGGGCAGACCGCAGCCTCTTCTCTGGGCCTTGAAACGAACGGAGGAAGACGCCAGAGCGGTGCTACGCGGTGTCGGGCGCCCACGAGCCGCACGGGGTCTGCGGCCACCGTCCCCGCCCGGCGTGCACCTCGCGTGCTGTCAGGGGGCCCGCGCGTCGGCAACTCTGCCGCGAGGCAGCCTGGTCGCAAATCTAAGCTCCTGGGCTCTGCCCTCTGCTTCTGCGCACGGGAAGGATAAAGAGCAAAGGAAATCACCCCACGACCCCTAACGCACCTCTGAGAGGCTCAACAGCGGCATCTCAGACACCCCCGGGGCCTCGACTGAGCCGAACACTTCTGCCAAGCACAGTGGGAGAAGACTCTCCCAGGAAACCCCAGCACACTGGCCAGAAACTACGACAAACGCTCAGGACAACGTAGTTCCTATCTGAACACAAAAACAAGCTGCCTTCTCAACCACAGGCATTCGGAGGCTACGGCCGGCGGACTCGGAGCCGGACTGGCAGGGCGACGCGGGCGGAGCCCCAGGCCCTCCGGACAATTACGCGGAGTCCAGAACTGCGAGCCGGGAAGGGACGCCTGACGCCCGAGGCCACTCAGACACGCGTCCTAAGGTCGCGGCCGGCTCGTCTGTGGCCATGCCTCGAGGTGGGGCGCTGTTCTGAAATTAGACAAGTTTTGGACTCTTGGGGCAAACTCTCCTAGTTTTTTGAGCACAGGAAACAGAAGGTAACCTCGTACTCGATCACCGTGCGTTTGTACTGCTTCACGTCCTCGTGCTTCTTGTTGATTTTGAACTGCACCGTGGCCAGCTTTTCCTTCTTCGCGTTCATCAGTCTTCGCAAGGAGTTTTCTTCGGCCTTCAGCTTCTTCAGCTCCGACTCGCCGCTCTCAATCTGGTCCTCCAAGCTCAGGTTCTGTGTGCCATGAGGAAGACTTAAAGCTTAACGTCATACGGGCGAGGAGGACTCACAAACAGGATGAGCGACGACGGCCTAAGAGGAGCCAGAGTAAGACAGGGCTCTGCACCCAGAGGGACGCAGGCTCAACAGAGGGGGCGCCAGACACGCAGGGGACGTCTCGTGTCGCGTCGTCAGCAAGGACTGCGACAGGGGCGCGTATGAGACCCTCCACGAGGCCGGGCCAGGGGCCAGAGCTGACAGGGAGGCACAGAAAGGAGGGGCCCAGAGCCATCAGGAGCGGGACCCCCACGCCGTCCTGTGGACTCGCAGGCAGACCAAGGGCCACGCAGCGCGGAACGGGCACCGCGGGCAAGAGCGCACTCCAGCCTCCCCCCGCACAAGGGAAACCTCTCGTCACGTGCACGGTGACCCACCCCGGCGACAGGCAGGTGAGGGCGCCAGGGGCGAGAAGTGAGAGGCTTTCCCAGTTTGCCGCCTGAGGAACGGGGCTGACGCTGGCTCTCGGCCTCAGGCCAACGGCCGCTGCCACGAGCCTCTTCAGACCCCTGGCTGCGCTGGGCGTCTCTTGGGACCCTATGCTTGCTATTTGGACAGTCAGTTCCACCATTAAAATGAGTTCGAATAAAACCCCTTCCTGTTTCTTGAAACCCGAGGCACAGCGCTAGTCAGAGACCCCCGCCCCCGCCCCTGCCCCCGCCCCCGGCCCGGGGCGAGGGGGGCCCTGCTAAGCCCTGAGACTGGGCGGGCCCCGCCTCTGAAGACGGAGGCTCGTCCCGGGAAGGGAGGCGGACGGCACGAACCTCCTTCAGGACGCCGGCCAGCCTCTCCCGGTCCTCCGCCAGGTCCTGTATCTTCTTCTGGTACAGCTGCACCTCCAGCTGGCAGGACGGCAGGCCGTCCACCGAGTCGCGGTAGAGCTCGTACTTCTCCATCACCTCTTGCTTCGAGAGGAAAAGCACAGGGCCTGTGAGGCTGCGGTGGGTCGGCTCCGCGGGCGCGTCCGAGCTCCCGGGAGCACCGCGCCGCCCGAGGCCCGGCCGGGGGCCACCGTGGGGGCGCGGGCCCGAGCGCCACGCGAGCACAACCTCTCACGGAGGACCTGCCCGAAGACTCCGCTTCTGCCGACCCCCAGCCGCTCCCGGTGACCCCGGCAGCCGCACCCAGTCACTCATGCGATCCCGGCCCTCGGCGCCAGGGCTGCCCCTCCGGCTCGTTGTTTTCTTTAAACAAGATGGGTTCCTCTTCCAAAGTCAGAAAGTTAACACTGCAGACTGCAACCCCTGCAACAAGCGCCCCTCTCCTGCCCGCCCCCCCCGCCCCCCTCGGGCGGCCCCGGCGGCAGCGCGTGTCCCGGCTGGGCCCCGTCACCCATCGCCTGCACGACACGTGGCTTTTGGATTTTGAGCTTAACTTAAAAAAGCCATCCCAGACCACGGTTATACAAGTTCCCCTAAGGTTGCTGAACTTTTATATATAAACATTTAACCCAGTTAACGCTTATTTTTTTCAGAGGCGCAGGGCAGACCCGGCTCCCTCTGCTGCTTCGTGAGGAGCCGCGGAACCAGAGCTGCCGACCACACCACCGCTCCTTCCTCAGTGCTCGGGCCGCACCGGGGGCTCCTGCTTCTCTTCTCACCGTGGCGAGGCCTGTGCGGCGATTTTTAATAATCAGGACATAAATCCCTGACTAACCACCTCAGAGATGAGCCAGAAGTGGCTTCCGATCAACAGTTTACAAACTTGCCTCATAAAAGCTGCCACGTCGTCCGCGCCCTCCACTCTGTCCCCCGCAACCCCCCGCAGGGACGCGCGCTCGCCGGCACGGCCCCCCCGAAGGGCACGCCCGGCTCCCCGAGGCCTGGCCGCCGCTCTCCCCCAGCGCAGGTCCCGGGCCCGCAGGCCAGGCCGGCACCCACTCACGGGCCGGAGAGCACCCTGCGCGGCTTCCCGTGTGTGTCTCTCTGTGGTGCTTTTAAAGAACAGACTTCATTTTCTGGACCAGTTTTACCTTCACAGCAAAACTGAGCAGAAGGGACAGGGATGTCCCCCACGTGTCCTGCCCCCCACGCAGGCCCCGCGCGGCCGCGTTGTACACACTGGCATTTGCTACCACATTGATATGTTGTATGATGCAGAACAATAATATAACGTTGTATAAATATATCACTGTAATAGCAAGTGTTAACCTTTTCTCCCTTGAAATCAAGTACCCAAGTCTCAGGAAGATCACCCAGGGCAAAGCCTCCAGCACGTGCCGCGTAACTGAACAGGGGTCTTCACCCTGAACCCACCTCGTGCAGGGCGGCGAGCTCCAAATGAGGACCAAACGCTCCCGGGACGTGAGGGACAGACAACCGGGAACCAGGAAGTCAGCACCCGGTTAAACAGGAGTTGTTAAAAAGAAACTTAATAAAACAAAAAGGAACCTCACCCTGGAATTTTTAAGCTTCTGGACTGTGTCTTTCATTTTTTCTTTATAATTCTTTAACTTCTCTGGAGAATCCACAATTTTGGTTTTCAAACTCTCTTGTACTTCTTTCAAAGAGACCACCGACAATTTCAGTTCATTCTGGGGAGAAAGCGTTCTCCTGTGTCAGCTGCAACGAAACCCCCGGCAACTTCCCGTCGCAGCAACGGGCCAGGACAAGGCAGCGGGTTCCCCGCTCCATGCGTGGGGGCGAGATTACGTGGCGCCCCAATCCCCCCCCCGCCGAGGCCCCTGCTCCCGCCCAGGCCTGAGCCAGGCCCCTCCGCGCCACACGCGGGGCCGTCCCTCCCGTCCCTCCCAGGTTCCCGTCCGGTGTCCTGGCCACACCAGGGCTGTGCTGGGGGGCGGGGAGGCGGGGTGTCAGCGTGCCCCCATGCGCTGCCCGAGTCGCTGAGCCCCAGGACCCTGCCCGACCTGCCCCCCACCCTTCCGCGGTGCGGTGCGGGGACTAGCCATGTCGGGGCGGCCCGCTGTCTTGCTCCCCCAGGCCCCAAGCACAAGGCCAGCACCGAGCAGGTGCTGTGAAGGGTTCCATGAGCTTCAGTTTCCAGGAAAAGGACCCAGGAGAGACGGTCGACCACGATGCCCACGTGCCCCCCGCCCCACAAACTGCCCGTCCTCGGTGCCGCTGGCCCCAGAGGCACTCACCAAGTGCTTGGTTTTCTCCAAGATGTCTGCCTTCTTCTGGGCGTTTCTCTCCTGCACCGACATCTACGGAAAAAGCAAACCACTGCTGGCCCCTGGCCCGATTCAGAACCCGATTTCAGGGCAGCCTCCGGGCTTCCGCGCAGAGCAGGGGCAGGAGCCGACTCCCCGCGCGGGGCGCTCGGCCGGCCAAGGGCCTGGGCTCCCCTACCGAGCAGCGGAGCCCACGGAACTGCACGCGTACGTTTACATCCCCACAGCCTGGCGGCCCCACCCCAAAGGAAAACGCCAGCCTTCTCCCATCTCGAGTGTGCAGAACCCCAGGCCAAGCTGCGTGTCTGCAGGCCCTCAGGCCACACGCCCCGCCCCCGCCCCCCGTCCTGCTCTGCGGGGACTTGCGCGGTGCCTGCCGCTCACCACAACGCCGCCAAGGCCCCGGCTCGGACCCGCTGGGGGTTCAAGCAGCACATGACAGACGTGGAGCTTCCTGTTTCCCTGGAAACGTCCCAGCGCCCAGGAGCCCGCAGTTAGGGACAGCAGGGCTAGGCCGAGACTACAGCCCTGGAGCGACCTCGTCTACAGAGCGTGCGGCTCTGGCACTGCCAGTGACACCGTGGGTGGACGGGGCTCGTGAGGCCGAGTGTCCCTCAGGAGAGCCCAAATGGGCACAGCGGTGACGCTGCTTAGCCGCTGAGCACGTAGCCGTGCCGCGCCCCCCCCGCCCCCCGGAACGCGCTTGGCCAGAGCCACGCTGCCAGCGGCGGGTACCGTCTTCTGCCGGAAGTCCTGGTTCAGCAGCTGCTGCAGCTCCTGGATCTCGTCCGACAGCTGCTGGAACTCCGCCTGCTCCTCGGCTGGGACAGAACTGAGCACACGGGGCGCCCGTCACCGCGCGCCAGGGGCTCGACTCCGCGGGGCCCTCGAGGGGCTTCCGTGGACGACCCCGCCTCGGCGGTTCCGGGTGACCGCCCTCCCCCCCGCAGCGACTCAGAGCAGACGCCCGCCCGCAGCCTCCCGCCCTCGGGTCTCCGTGGGGACCGTCCCGAGCCTGCCGCCCCAGCACCGCTCCCCGCCCTCACCCCCCAACAGACGCGGCCCCTCCCGGGCTCTCCCCCAGCAGGGCCTGCGCGCCGCTCTCCGCGGCAGCGCCCGCACCGCCAGGGGCCTGAACCTGCCCCAGGCACATTTAATCGGCCGTTTGCGTGTTGTGCCCTGTGAGCCCCGTCTACAGCCCTGGCCCGCGCCCGCCGTCTGCCATCTGCTCCCCCATCGGTGGGCACGGTTCTCTGCACGTTGGGGATGTCACCCTAACGTGACTGGAGATGCTTCACTGCATCTGTTGCAAACGTGCTCTCCCAGCTGTCCCTCAGCATGTGACCTGGCACGTGCTAAGCCACCAGGTGGAACGTTCCTCTCTGCCCCGAGCCTCCTCTCTGCCCCGAGCCTCCTCTCTGCCCCGAGCCATCTTGTCAGCTTCCTGCCGCGTCTGAGGGCGGTTCACACAAAGGCCCGACGTAGACATACTCAGACAGCGACACGTTAGAAGGGACAAAAGCCCAGCGGTTCCAGGTCCGATTACACGCGGCCAAGGAACCCCAACTCGGGCCTGACTCGCTCTCCTCTCTGACCTGCGCGTCCCAACAAACCCCCGCCGCCGAGGGAGGGAAACGCTGACGCCCCCGGGCTGAGGAAGCGTCCCCGCCTGCGCCCGCCGAACACTCGCAGGTGCGGCCCAGGACGGCCGCCCACCGCCGAGCAGGCCTGGCCACCGCGCCAACAGCCGGAAAGGAGCAAGACTGTGCGATGTCCCCAGAGCGAGGAAAAGGAAAGGCGAGCCTGACGGGAGGGCACACCGGGCGGGGGAGGCTGGACGGCGCCTGCAGGGCCGCGGCGTCCACTCTGCGCTGCCGCCGCCGCCCTGGTTTTACCTGTCGGCCTCCCACTTACTCGAGTTTCTCCAGCTTCGCGAGAGCCTCCTGATGCGCCGTGTTTAACTGCTGCATTTTGTCCACAGAAGATTTCTATTAAAGGAATTTCAGTAACTTCACGTTAGCGCTTTCAACACGATCAGTGACGTGTTCAGAAATCACCAACCGGCCCGGACGGCCCCTCGCTACGTGCTTCCTCGCTACAGCCGTCACCGCCGAAACCGGGCGCTTAGACCGACGCAGCGCCTGCCTGCAGTAGCTCGGTCCCCTTGAGGATCCCACCCAGAAATCTGAAACCGCGGCACAGCTTGTCACAGTGCCGAGGTCGGCGGCCCCCAGCTCAACTGAGGTGACAGCCAGGGCGCATCCCAGGGGGCTTCGCAGAAACAGCAGGAGGTGCCCGGGCTGGCCCAGACGAGCAGCAGCCGGCCCAGCGGCGGGCCCGCGCGCGTGTTGGCGCAGGCGCACACAGAGGCTTGGACAGCACGCGCATCAGGAGCGCGCTCCCCGGCCCATCCCAGGCTGGGCGCGAGCTCTGGCCGTGGGGCCCGGGCTCTGCTAAGAGCGTGTGCCCGGCGAGGACAGACGGCCACACCTTTCCGACCTCCCTGAACTGCTGGCCTAACGAGCTTGTCTGTGACCCACTAGACTGACTCGCACCCGGGACGCTGGGCCAACAGGGTAAGGAGAGCAGAACGCCCGCTAGGCCTTCGTAGGCAGCAGGCCCAAGCCTCGAGCCTCAGTGGCCCACAGAGCCCTCCACCCTGACATCGAACCTCAGAGAGACGGGGCATCGTCACGGCTCCCTTCCCTGCGTTTCCTCACTAGGGAGACAGGCCTCAGCCACAAGGCTGGGACAGGAAGCCCAGCCCCTTCCTAGTGCTGCCAAGGGTCAAAGGAGGCCTCAGTCAGCGACGCGCCCCGGAAACAGACCCGAGGCTTCCCACAGACGCAAGGACAGGCCTGGTTCTGCCACACCTACCCCCCCAGGACCACCATCCCAAAGCAGGTTACTGCTCGCAAACGATGCTACGGGTCCACTACGTGACGCCCAAATACCCTGAAACCTCACGTATTGCCAGAGGAACTCCATGTACGTCTCCCGGCACGCCTCCCGGAAGTGGATGAAGTTGATGATGCCACTCAGAAACCGGCAGGTCCGCTTGGCTTCTGGAACAGGGCGAGACACTCCTCCCGTGAGTCCTTCCGGTGCCACAGAAGCGACAGCCCTCCCGTCCACCCCGCGCCCGGCCCACGGGGACGGGTGACGCTGGGTGCGAGCTGCAACCGCCCGAGCTGCGCAGGGCTCTCTCCGACGCGCAGACCAGAGCTCTCCTCGCGTTAGGGACTTAAAAAAAGGGCCGGCCCCTTGTGGCCACGAGTGCGTGACGGGCGAGATTCTGCTCCTGCCCCAGCCCCCAGGTCAGCAGACGCACGGACTGCAGGCAGGCGCCCCAGGACAGCGGTCCCCAGGGAACCCCCGGAGGTGAGTGACCCCGGGGTTAGAAACAGCCCTTCTCCTGGACAGCACTCCAGCGTTAGGACAGACACACCGCCCCCCAGGGGGTCTGCGTTCGCCCGCGCCAACGGCCAAGGGCCCGGGCCCGGCCCCGCCCCGCACTCACTCGGGTACAGGATGTCGGCCGTCTCGAAGTCGTTCACGCGGCAGATGGGCAGGAACGAGTTCCTGTGGGTCACGGGGGAGAAGGGACACTCAACGGTGCATCGTGAACCGCACTCGAAGCCGAGGCAACAAACATCTGTGCCTCAGCCAGGCTCCTGGACGTGTCCTCCATGTCAAAGGCCCACGCCCGACGTCCACCGGAAAGCACTCCAGGTCCCCTTCTCTGCCCAGGACCCGCGTGCACTCCCAGAGCAACGACAGACCAACAGGCCGCGCCCTGGGAGGCTCTGGGGCTGCGGAAGGACGCGGCCGCCTCCTGCAGCTTCACAGCCCCAACGCCCGGCCCGTCGTGGGCGGTGCCGCAGGCAGGGCCGTGGGCTGCGTGTGCTGGACGCCTACCGTTTTGACTACAATGCGGGATGGAGTGGGGGAGAAGATGGCGGGAATTCTTCTCCAAAAAGAATCACAGCATCAGGAAAGCTGAGTGTGACACAGCCACAGCTGGATGAGGAAAATAAAACAACGCTTCACTCACAGGTAAATGAAGAGGTTGCTGACCGGCAGGAAGCCTTCCATCAAATGTGGATACATGACGTCCGAGTTCACCGGCATCTAAGGGAAAAAAATCAGCCACCCCAGGTGACAGTCCACCCTGACAAGCTGAGAACGTTCCGCTTCAAGGACCCTCGGTCCCCGCGTAAGACGGAACCACGGCGACTCATCCTTAGAGGGGGGCGCAGGCAACGGCCCGGCGGGAGCGGAGCCGTGGCGCTGCCGCCAGCCCGGGTGACGCGGGGTCCGGGGGTGCGCACGAGCGGACTGCCCGCAGGGGGAAAGGGGGCGCTGGCTCCGGTCCCCAACCAGCAGCACGGCCCTGCCGGCTGTTCCCTGTGCGCCAGCGACACTCAGCACAAGCCCAGGACAGAGAGCCACCTGCTCACAGGCCCAGGGGGAGCCTCAGCCAGGCCTCCCGGCGTGGCGCTGGGGACGCCGACAGACACCCCAGCTCGGCTGCCCCTCCCGCAGCCCGCGGGTGAGGAACAGGCCCTCCTGCGAGGACCCCCGACCTGCGGAGGGCTCCCCGCCCCCGGCACCCCCACGCAGGATCCTGGAGGCCAGCCTCTGCCAACCGGCCCCAGCCTGCACGTGGGAGGGGACACCTGGCCACGACGGTGCGTGTCCTTCACCTCTCACGGCACTTCCTGTCCAGCTGAAGCTGTCACTATGAGCCACCACTATGCCCGAGGCTCCTTTCTAAGCGCCAGGTCACAGGAGCCCCCTTCTGCCACCATCAAGCCCCCCGCCTCCGGGCGCAGCACCCGGGACCCACCATGTAGAAGTGCTCCAGGCGCGTGCCGTACACGATCTGCAGGGCCCGCAGGTAGATCATGTGCAGGACCTCGGGCTGCGGGAGACAGCGGCGCGGTTAGTGCGGGCGCCACGGGACCTGGTCGCGGCCGTCCGCGCGGCAACCTCCCCCAACCCCAACCGACCGACAGGCCTGACGCCTCGCTGGTTCCCCTGAGAGCGTCTGCCCCCGCTCCCAATTCTAAGGCGCCTGAGACGCTCCTCAGTTTGCTCATAAGCCACAGGGATCGATCAGCTGCGCTGTCTGAGCTCAGGGGATGAGAGCGAGGCTCTCCAAGCCCGCCCCACGCATCCCACCCCCACTGGGGCCGGGCAGGGTCAGCCTCGCCAAACGGGGTCCGCGTTATTCAAAGGCGAGGGCCTCCGGATTGAAACGACTGGGCCGCGTCCCTCTGCGCTCACCCCCTGCACACCCAGCCACCGCGCCTCCCGCCTCACCTTAGGGTTGGGATAAAGATCGCTCTTGGAGAGGTTTTTGCCGTCAGCCCCCGTTAAGATCTTGTTTCGAACGTGAGTCACGATCTCGGCTACATTGTATCTGGGGAAAGACAAGGTTTCCATCTCGGGCGTCTCCGGCGGGTCTGGAGGAAGAACACAGGTCAGGTACGGGGCACTGAGCAGCGAGGCGCCGGGCAGCGCACAGAATTAATTACTCAGTCAAAAACGCCGCGACGCTGAGGCCCGAAATCCGGCCTGGAGCCCTGCGTGACGCCACAGAACGTCCGGCTGCCCTGCGAGCCCCTGGCCAGCAGGACCGGCCCCAGTGCGGCGGTGCCGGCAGCGGGAGCAGTGAGAGCGGCAGGCACTGCCCAGAGGGCGGCCCCTGTTCGGGTCCCTCCGGGACCCCGACTCCCTGGGGAGGCAGCCTCGCCCCACGGCTCCGCTGTGCACATGCTCTTCGCAGGCGACCGAATACGACCCGGCCGAGGACCTCCTTGCGTGGGGAGCCAGCCTGCCAGGCGGGACGCGGCACCCCAACACCCGAAATAAATCACTGACTCCGGCGACCCCGCGGACACCCTTCCGTTGGGCCCTCTGCCCACTGGCCGTTTCTAGCCACAGCCACGCAGGGCACATGCCTCCCTACACGCGCGACGCCACTGAAGAACGCGCCCGCGCCTCCGCTCAGACACCTCGCCTCGCAGCCTCTCCTGGCCGACTTCGCTTAGGACCCGAACGTCCCCACTCTGCTCACGTCCCTGCGAGACAGACTCTGGTGTAGCGCCGCCTCGACGTGCGCCAGGGGGACCGAACCCGACGGTGCGGATGCGGCGGCCGCTGGGGCTCCCGCGCACCCCACGGGGCCCCGCAGACACGCGGGGACGAGGCCCGTCCGTGCCACCCACGGCCGTCCGCAGTGGGTCGCTGCGGCCTCGCGCGGAGCTGCGGATCCATCGAGCGGGTGTCACCGTCCCCAGCTCTCACTTTCCGTTCGCACCCACGTTCCGCCCCCTGACAGGCGCCTCAGGGGCCGTGTGTGGCGTAAACACGCGCGACCCAGGTGTTCACCGGATCGGGCCTGAAAGGCCGCCGACGAAAGGAGCGCCCGCAGGGACCCGCGGCAGGGCCGCGCCGCAGGGGGGCAGCTCCTAGGGCCCGCCGCGCCCCGCCCACCTGCCTGCGCGGCGCCACCCGCCGCGGGGGAGCGACCCCAACTTCCGGTTCCGAGAGGTTCCGAGGCTGGGAATCTCCGCCCTCCTCCAGTGTTCGCCCCAGACCGAGTTCGGTCCCGACCTGCTCGCGACGGGGGCGGGTTCGAATACAGACAGGCCTCCCTTTCTTGCGCTGCGCTCCGCTGCACTTCGCAGGGGTTGCGTTCTCCCCAAACTGCAGGCGGCAAGAAGGCGACGGCGCCACCGGATGGCTGCGCCCGGCCCGCGGGGCTCCGGGGGCACTGGCTCTCGGCCGCCTGGCGGGCGGCGAGCACGGCCCCGGTCGCCCGGGCTGTCCCGTGCTCGCAGAGCCCGCGCGCTGCGGGGAACCAGCCGGTAAAATGACGCTTCAGGACCGACGCGCAGCCGCGCCCCGGGCCACAGTGGGGTTTTCCCTCCCGAGGCTCGGCTGGGGCCGCGGCTCTACTGAGACGTCGGCGCCCCTGCGCCCCGATATGACTGGTTGCCCTTCGTACGCGCCCCAACGGGGGCCCGAGACCCCCACGGCGCCCCGGCCGGACCCCCGCTGCACTCACCGCCGTCACCCCGGGGACGCCAGTCCACCTCCGTCAACGCCGACCGTTGTCCCGTTTTAAAAGCGCCGCCTGCCCGGGAGCCCCGCCCCTTCCGTCCCGCCCACTTCCGGCAACGGTCGCGCCGGCGGCCGGTGGGGCTCAAAAATCTCCCGGCGCGGGCAGCGCGGTTGGCGCTGGACTCCGCGGACAGGGGGCGGAGCGGGCGGGGCGGAGCGGGCGGGGCGGAGCCGGGGGCGGTGGGACGCTGCGAGCTCGAGGCTGGGTTCGTGGGCGCAAAACCCGCTACGCTCTGGGGGCGGTGTGGCCTTCCCACAACGTTCCTGCAGTTCATTACGAATGGACGGCTAAGCGGGCGCGCGGCTTCGGAGTGTTTCGCTGGCGGTTTGGTGCAGAGGACAAGTGTACAGAATGTTTTCTGTTGTGCGTACGAGGCGGGGGCTGCAGGTCCGCTGAAAACGCACAGGGTTTAAAACAGCAAATCCTGGGAGCGGCGCGCTTGCGCAGCGTGGCCACTGGGTGGCGCCGTTGCACCAGCGTGAACCCGGCACCTAGTAGTTTTATTTCATTTCCCGGCGCGCACGTAAACAGAGTCAGGCGGATACACCGCGAACACAGTGTTCCGGGTGCGACAATTAGTCTAAACGCAGTTGCTTTGAGATGCACGGTTAGCGTTTGGGCCCAGAAACAAAGACGGCGTTGGGCTCTGGTCCCCCGCCCCATCCCTCCGCGAGTGCATTTCCACTCATGGATTTGAGAACTGAGCTACGATTCCCGAGACTTCAAACAGCGTCTTTGTTAAGGACTCAAGCGGAGTTTTCAGTTAGTAGCCTTAAAATGCGTGTCCTTGGCCAACCTAATTTGGGATGGGCTGTAAGCCAGGTCCAAGGGCGCCCGATTGGCGGTGTTGGACTCTGACCCCGCCGGCGTCCTCGCCGTCAGCTTCCACGCCAGGTTACACGGGTTTAACACGACCAGGAGAGAGAACCGTGGGGGTTAACGACCCCTAGGAGCTGATGAAAATATCCGTCCAACGCGACCTTTTTACATACAGTGTTTATGCTCTGAGTGCTTCAGTAGTGGTTTACGTTGCCCTGTGGTGGGCCCCGTTATTCCGGGGGAGTGAGTGAGAGGAGCCCGCTTTGGCAGGGTGGGTTTCCTTCGGAAGCTGTGAGGACTCTGGGCCCGGCCTCCCCTCAGCTTCTGGGGGTTCGCCGGTGACCTATAGAAGTGTCACCCCGATCTCTGCTCCGTCTGTGCATGTGTCTACGTCCGGAGTCCCCCTTCCTACCAGGACTCCGGTCACCGTGGCTTAGAGCTGCTCCAGCGACCTCGCCTTAACCTGCCTGCCTCTATAAAGACCCCGTTGGCACACGGGGTCCCATTCTGATGTTTTGGGGTGAGAACGCCCACGTGTCTTCGGAGCACACAATTCCACCCGTGACACAGGGCTCACAGCGGGGTGGGCCAGCAGCCCCCCGGGAGCAGGATCTATAAATAGCCAGAGGGCTGGAGCAGGACAAACATGCCAGCTGCCCGCTGCGCCGAGTCCAGCCCGGGTTTAAATGGCGTTCTAATCCCTTGTTGTTTTTCTATTACTGATGTCCTTTGAGTGCCACATGCTCAGCCCATGTGATTAATTTCATTTCATTTTTCTTAGAACTCTTAAAAGGCATGTCTGGATAGCTTCAGAAGGAGTACACAAAGCCGGTGACACTCTGGGTCTCGGTCACAGAGAAAAGGAAGGGCGCAGAGGGTGACGCATTGACCGGGACCGGCCGCGCCTCCCGACGCTCTGTGCTGAGTCCACAAAGATGCGACTGAGAGGAGCGTGGCACAGCGGCAGCTTAGAGACGACGTCGAGCCCCAGGGGCGCGGACGCGGCCGCTTGCCACGGGGAGAGGTCGGTTCCGGTGCTCAGGGACCCTCGCTGCACGTCACCGGGCCCACGGCGGCCCCGGCGCGGTTTGCCGCGCGGAGCCGACCGGCCGGGGCCTGTCCTCGCCGACGCCGCACCGGGGACGGCCGCGCTGGCGGGACCTGCGGGGGCGGGCGCACCAGCAGGCGGGGAAGGCCGCCGGTCCGACCGCACGGCTCTGAAGTGTCCCTTCGGCTCTTCTCGCTGCTGGACATTCTCGTCGCCAGTGACTGTGTTGGCTGTTGGAGATTGAGGAACCTCTGTTTACATAAATCCAACCAGGACAAGGATGTAACACACACACAAACCTTGACCGAGCGCCTCCGCTGACGCCGGGACTGTATTAGGCGTCGGCGGCAGGAGCGGGACGCATCGCCCCGCCCCCGGAGGGGCGTGTGCCTGCAGGGCTCCGCCCCCGGGCGCCCCTCCCCCACCGCCCGCCGCGGGCCCACCAGAGCCGGGCCGGCGGTGCGCTCCGAGCCGGGCCGGGAGAACGGTCTCGACAATGACCCTGAAACGGGAAGGCCCGGCTCCGTCACCCCTGACAGTCACCGCGGCGCCCCCTCACTCCCCCGAGCGAGCCCCGCTTGGCGCCGATTGGCCGATCCTCCCAGCGTCAGGTCTGCGAAGGCGGATGGCACTCCTCCGTTTAGACCCTGTCTGGTGCGGGGCTGTCGGTGAAGTTCGGAGGTAAAACACAGGACGCCTAGGCAGACCTGAACTTCAGATGGGGAACAAAGGCTTTGTAGATATGAGCGTGCTTCTAATATTTGAATAGTTTTATATTCAAACATTGTACTTAAAATTCTTTATTTGAAATTCCGATTTAACTGTTTTAATTTTTTTTAACCTGGCACCCTATTAAGAGCCGGGCTCTGAGGACGATAAAACAGTGAACCGGGCTCAGATTCCTCACTCAAATGTAAATAACCGTGATGCGAAGTAAAAGGCAAGGTTCCTGAGAAATACGCAGCAGAGCGCTTCCAAAGTTCCCCAGAGGACGAGGTTCCTTCCAGCCCCGAGAAGCAGGGGCCGCCGCCGGCTGGGCCCAGGAGGGGGTGGCCGGACCGGGGCGTGGGGACGGCGGGCAGGCCGGGCATTGCAGGCCCAGCTCCGGGTGGACAGCAGAGTATGAGGCCCAGGGGCCCACCTCTGCGGCGCCCAAGGCACGAGGCGGGACACAGCGGCAGGAGAAACCAGGGAGGCGGGGTCCCCTGGCACAGGCGCCCGCAGGAGAGCCGGGGTGAGGCGTGGAGGCTGAACGGGCTGCACCGCTAACACGTAGGAACGGGGCGGCGATGGGCTGAAGGGGGACGATCACACGTTTTGGCATAGAAACGCCCGAGTGCGCGCCGCGCCACCGGCCGTGGGGCCCGGGAGCATTCCCGCCCCTGAGCGCCTGTCTCTGATGCACTCGGGCGAGCGATGCTCCCGTCCTGCGGAGGCTGCGAGTCAGCACCTGCCGTTCGAGCGAGGCAGCACCCCCCCCCCCCGCCCCTGCCCAGCGGGGCGCCACCTTACTGACAGCGGGTCCCCGCCAGCCTGCGGGGTCGTACTTCATTGTGACTGGCGAAGACACTCTCCGCACATAGGAGACTTCCTTCCAATGTTCTCGCTTTCTTGCCATAGAGAAATAGCCTTTGAGAATACAGAGCGGCGTAACAATCAGAACTCAAAACAGGAAGTGCCCAGAAGCCGATGTTTAGAATATTTGGGCCAAATATTTGCTCTCATTTGCTCCCCTCGGCAGCCGTGTGCTGAGAAGGGGCGTCCTGGGGGGAGGTTGGTTAAGGGAAGGCAGGCGTTTCTCCCCCATCATCTGAGGCTCGAGCAAACAACGTGGACGCCTGGCTCGGCCCCAGAACCCGGGCGCCCCCGCCGGACGCCCTGCGGGGCGGCTGACCGCGCCCTGGCACCGCGGGGCATGAAAGCCAGCCAGGCCCGGGCGGGCCGATGCCTTGGAAAGACGCATTCTGGATCATCCCTCTGGGTTCTGGCTTCCGCCCGGAATTCTCTCTCAGTTTTTTATGTAAAACATGTCAAGGACAAGGACGGATGATGAATTTTCCTCTGAGAACAGCACCCGGGAACAATGTCTGAAACAGCCGCCGCTGCGGAAACCATGTTTCCGGATGACGCCTCCTGTGTCGGAGGTTTTCTTTCAAAGATGAGCCCTCGCCAGTAGGCGCCTTGTTTGTGTCTTTCCTCCCCAACCCCCGATTCAGGCCACTGGGGTCAGAAGAGGGGCCAAACGTGGGCTCCGTCTTCCTGAGTCCACGGAGGCTGTTTGATGCCCTGAACTCTGTTCTATGTCCCAGAGAACGTTCCATGAGCACTTAGAAAAAGGGGTGTTCTGCAGTTTGGGGAGGAAACACCTATGAAGCCGATCTCATCTGCTGTGACATTTTAAAATCCGTTATTTTCTTTATTAATTCTCTGTATGGAAACAATCCGACAGCCCACCAGCCGGTGAGAGGTGAGGGGTGGCGTGTCCACCCCCCCGGGACACCGCTCCGCAGCGGAGGGAAACGTGTTTGCGCTCCGTGCTGCGTGTGGATTAACTACCGTGCGTGTGAAAGGAGCTACGTCTGGAAGGCTCCACGGTCTGTGGTTGCATTTCTGTAAAATGGTCGGAAAACACAGACAGAGACTGGAAGCAGCCTCGTCTGGGAGAAGGGGGAGGGGTTGCCGCGGGAGGGCCCGCCGCTTGTTAGTGGGGAGGCGGGTGAAACTGTGCACAGGCTGAAAATCGTCGAATTGTATACTTGCGTTGGGTGAATCTTAAAGCAGTTATAGCCTCACTTCCCTAAAACTATAAGGACTTAAAAGACCTGGCAGATGGCGAAGAGCAGAGTCTCCGGTCAAGTCTGGTTTTGTCTGTTTAGACAAAGGCCAAGTTGCACAGCGACAGCCTTTCTTTCTCATCCGCTGACTTAATTAGCTCCACTCTCAGTAGTAAAAGTTTATGGGAAATGTAAGGGCTTAATCCCCCGGAGGGCGTTTGACATTCCTGTTGTCCTCAGAAGAAAAACATCCAAGCAGCAGATGTGTGCATTTCGTTCGGGATGAAAACTGTAGAATTTTTTTGAAATGTTTTTTCCAAGACAGATCGCCCACGGTTCTGCTTATCCG